CTAGTCTAAATTAGTCTCTTTACTGCCCGAATACAATCTTAGGATGGTACACCAAGGTCATATACAACGGAAAATTGTATACTTACCTTCCGTAATTTGCCTTTCCTGGTGCATCATTTGGTAGCACCTCATGGATTAAGATCCACCCCTCTTAACCCCACAGGACACGTGATAAATTTAGGCTCCTCCTAGCCGCACTCTTTCTAGTAACAATCACAAGCCATGGCAGGGAGGGAAAGGAGGTGTGTTGCCAAATGATGCACCAGGAAAAGAAAATTACGGAAGGTAAGTATACAATGTTCCGTTTTCGTGGGGCATCATGGCAGCACACCTTGGGATTTAGCAATCACAATGGGAACCCTCCCATGCCAGAAAAAATAATTTTATTAGATATGTGAACACCCAGACATGATAATGCTTTTGCCAAACTCGGCTGTAGTAAGAAGAGTGGGATCCACTCTATAGTGATTCATAAATGTAGTTCTTGAAGACCAGGACACGGCCTTGCAAATCTTCTCGGCTGAGACCTTCGAGCAGGCTGCCCAGGATGTTGCTAGACCCCTCGTGGAATGAGCCCTTATCTCCTCAGGTGGTTTCAAGTTCTTCAAAGAGTAAGCTTTTTTGATGAGCTTGACTAACCAGGCCGCTATGGTTCTAACCAATGCCGCTTGTCCCCTTTTGCTGCCCCATGGGATTATGAGCAGGTTATCCACAAAGCGAAAGGGTTCTGTAGCACTTCAAGGTACTAACCACATCGAGAGTGTGAGGTTCACCTTTGGCAGTCATAAGTGTAGGTAGAACAATTTGCTGATTGAGGTGAAAGGGGGAGCTCACTTTAGGGAGGAACTGTGGAAGGGTCTTAAGAACAACCCTGTCCGGGAAGAAAATGCAGAACTGTGTTTTTACCGCTAACACCTTGTTTTGCTGATGTAATTGCTAGGAGAAAAGTGGTTTTTAGAGTCAAATTCCAGGCATCAGAGTATGGGTGAAAGGGGTCGTGTGCCAGCACACCCAGAAGCAATGATAGATCCCATTGAGGGAACATTGGCTTAATCGGGGGATGGATTTTGAGGCACTGTCAGGGACAAACACCGTCCCGAAGCCAGATAGCAGGGCGAGGCCGGCCCCGTCAGCAGCATCCCGTTGCCGGGCGGCCAATATTCAGCGCTCCACTCCTCCCTCCGCTCGTCAGCTGAGCCAGTGTGATGACGGGGCGGGCTCGGCCCAGCGGCGTCCCGTTGCTAGGAGACGCTCGGGTCGGGTCTCGTCTCCGGCTCCTCCCCCAAACACCGCTCTCTGCCTACAAAAACGTAGGCTGATCACTTGCTCGGTGTTCTAGCAAAGTAGTACGTCAAGCAAGCTATCTAGGGACACTACCTGATACTGTCCTCTACAGCCTACTTGATACTTGGCACCATCACCATTGGACCCTTGGCAGAGTGGACTCAGGAGCACGGCAAGCTGGACTCTCTCACCTAACAGCAAGTAACCATTAGCACATGTTTGCAATCTAGTGCTGTGTTGATGCTAATACCTGGTGGGAAGCTCACCTTACATCCTCCTCACTGAATCACTGCTTAATTCACTGCTGCATAGGACTGTTGTATACTGTCAATACTCAAGGGAGATTATGTTCAGGATTAGTGACTATAACTAATTCTGTGCTCCACTGTGCCATAATTTACTTGGGACTGTAACAATCATAACCTCACTCTAGTGCTATCTACGTTTGTCATCACTAGTGAAGTAAACTAGTGAATACGAACTACAAATCCTATCAGGCCCCAATGCTGTTCAAATTTTGGTTGTGAAAGTTGAACTGTCTTTACTAAGCCTACTACTAGTCTGATGGTGTATGTGACAGGGGTTCCGACTTCACTCAATACACTAAAGTGTGACTGTGAACCCTCTTCCTGAACCATCTCCACCTACCTTGGCAGCTGCGATCCCAAACTTCTGACCAAGCTTGCACGGATCATTACAGGCACCCTTTCAAGAACCGCACAATTAATGGATCCAATGCCCATCTGGATCCTGAGAGAGCAGAGATGGTAGAAACTTGCACCTTGAGTGAGTTCCAGCTAAGGCCTCTTTCTAGACCACTTTGCAGGAATTAAGAACATGGTTAACTGTAGGGGAACAGGGATTAAGGTGTTTGTCTGCCGCAGCTTCAGTGAACTTTTCTCATACCCTCTGGTACGTGGCATTCGTGGAGCCCTTCCTGGCTCTGAGAAGAGTTGAGATCACAGATGGGGAGCATCCTAAATGGGAGAGTCTTGCCCTTTCAACCTCCAAGCCATTAGGTTCAACGCTGTTGGAGATGGATGAGAAAGGGGGCCCTGATTCAGAAGGTTGTGGCGCTTGGGGAGAGGGATAAGGGGTTCCAAGCAGAGCTTAAGGAGAGAGGGGAACCAAGGTCTCCTGGGCCAAAAGGGGATGATGGCTATTACCGTCCCGGAAAAGGTGGTCACTCTCTGGAGAAATTTCTGTATTAGAGGGTAGGCAGGAAAAACATAGCATAGGTGGAAAGACCAATTGGTGGTCAGAGCATGCGTTGCTACTGCTTGGTTGCACTTGAATCGAGTCATGAACAATTTGGTTTTGGTGTTTTGGGGAGATGCAAACTGGTCTACTTGAGGTTGGCCATGATCTGGTTGAACATCTCCCAATTCAGTTCCCATTCATGGGGGCTATGGTGGACCTGCTCATAAAATCTGCTAGGGAGTTTTCTGCTCCTGGCAGGTAGATTGCAGTCAGATCCCAGAGGTTCCAGTTCTCGAAGCATAGAGCGACTGTGCGTCCCACCTTGGTTTCGCATGTACGCGACTGCGGTCCTGTTGTCGATCCGCAGCTGTACCGTGCGGTGTTGAATAACCGTGCCGAAGGTTTGGAGGGCTTTGAAAGCCGCTCTAATCTCCAGAATGTTGAGGTCGAAAGGACCATCGCCCTTGAGCCGTGCGGTCTCCGCAATGGGCACCCCAACCGTGGAGGCTGGCATCTAAAGTGATGACTCTAGGGCGTGGTAGGCAGAGCGGATGGTGGCACTGAAGATTCCAGTGGCAAGTCCACCACCATGGTGAGTTCCTCATGGCTGTGTTGAGGATGATTCTCTGACAAAGGTGCCACTTGTCCCATTGGCTGAGGAAATTGGTTTGGAACGTCCTCAATTTCCAATGGGCCCATCTGACCATCTTGATGTTAGAGGAGAGCGAACAGAGTAGACTAGGGCACCTGTGTGCACTCATCCAATGTGAAGAAAAAGCGTTCAAAACTTTGAGACAGATAAGATCGATCTTCTCTCGTGGAAGAGATATTGAGTTTCGGTTGGTATCGGTTGGTGAGAAGAGCTCCGAGAAATACCATCCTCTGAGATGGGCATAGATTGGACTTTTTAAAATTGATCATCCACCCGAACTGTTGTAGTACGGAGATGGCAATTCGTTGATGTTGTAGCATCTCTGTGCGGGTTCGAGACAAGAGAAGGATGTCGTCCAAATAATGATTTATACAAATCTTCTGAAGTCTGATATCTGCAATCAGAGGAAGCAGGATTTTTGTGAAGGTGCGAGGCGCTGTAGAAATGCCAAAAGGGAGGCACATGAACTGGAAATCCTAACCCATGGTGTGCTGCCAAATGATGCACCAGGAAATTATATATCTATATATCGATATATTTAAATGTATAGATAAATCAAAGGACACAAAGTCCTCAATCTCTTTTTCTGCAGCCTGTGTTATAAATTAACAGGAAGCCTCTATGAGTGTTCCTGTTCATTGATAACATGAAGACATTGTGTGTTTACTATAACCTCAACTATGAATGAACAGGAGGTGATACAGATCACTTCCCATCCATTCATAATTGAGGATATAGACAACATACCATGTCCTCAATTATGTACAAACACTCAGCGATCACTGATCGCTGAGTGTTTGCACTCACTCTCCTCTCTGACAGCTGTCACAGGAGGCTGAGACAGCGGAGCAGGGAGGAGAGCTCAGCCTCCTGTGACATCGCGGGCTGTCTCCGCCCACACACCGCTCTGCCGGACTGTGAAAGGAGGCTGAGCGGTGTGGGAGGAGAGACGCTGGCCGCTCACAGTGCTCTCCTCCTGCAGCGCTTGGCCGGCTGTCACGCTTTATCTCCTCCCCGCTGGGACACAGAGCAGTGCCCAGCGGGGAGGAAAGAAAGCAGGGATGCGCCGATGTATCGGCAGAAAAATGGCACTTTCTGCATTTAGCCAAAAGTGCCATTTTCGGCCGATATGTTTCGGTGGCCGATATATTGGTGCATCCCTAATATATATGCTGTATAGATATATATCTATGTAGATATATATGGATATATATTTATTTTTTTAGCTCTCAAAGTTGATATGCACAACTGCATGCAGCTAGATTCAGTCTATAGAACTTTCTTTATTTATTTATTATTATTCTTTTTTCACTAATATTTGTTTTGGTTGTATTGTCTTATCATCATAATGTCTGTGTTGTGTTTGTCTGCTTTTTCAATAAATCTTTTGTGACAGAATTATATAAGGGAAACATTTACAATTGCACTGACCTGTTGCAAGCATTTAAAATTCCCTATTCACTGATTTAATTGTTAATGTATTCAGCATATGCTCTTTGTCATTAAAGTATCTTAGTTAAGGAGACAAAGCAAAGATGGGTGGAGTATACAGCTAAGGAAAATCCATGGGTTTGCGGTTATTAGCTTCAATCTTGATTTTATAGAATTTAGTGCAGCCAGATTAATCAAATGTCCCTCTGATTAGGAACCCAGCATCTTTTTATGCTAATGCGTTGTCTGGTCCCCCTCTTATAAACCAATGTTTGTGGGTGAGACTACAGTGGGTTTAAATTAGAAAATACACAATGGTCTGTATCTTAGCAGATTTCGATTTACCAGGTGCTGCATTGTTTTGCATTGCTGTGCTGGGCTTATTGAGGGTTGAGTTTAAGCTATATTGCTACTTGTATCTGTGTGAACTCACCTCCTTCTTCTGTTCTGATGGTCTTTGTCTCACTTTCTGAGCCTTCACCTTTGCCATTGAGCACATGAACTGTGATTGAGTAGTTGGTGAAAGGCTTTAGGCCATTGATGTTTGCATGGGTAACATTACCATACACAGTTATCTTATGTGTATGTCTCTCATTCTGAGCAGCATAACGGATCTGTGAAATAAAGTTCACAAGAAAGTAAAACAGACTGTAAAGGCTCCAAAATAATAACTTTGCATAGTATACAGCTGCCATAAAAAACCCTCCATTGCCAGACGCAGGAGTGGACCCTGCTGCATATATTTTGGTCGTGCCAGAAGCTCGGGGACTTTTGGGGTACAGTAGCGGAGATCTGCCATAAGGTGACAGGGGTTCGTTTGGGGTCCGATCCGGCTGAATACCTCCTGCATCTAGCTCCAATGCCGCTTCGCAGATACAGGAGATCCCTCCTAGTGCACTTACTCAGTGCGGCAAAAATGTGCATACCACTGTACTGGAAGCGCACATCTGCTCCTCCAATCTCACTGTGGCTGGCGAAGGTGGGAGAGATCTACAGGATGGAGGATCTCTTAGCCTCTGCCAGTCACAGGGTTACTCAGTTCAATCGTACCTGGTTCTACTGGAACTTACCTTAAATGATGCCTCTAGATCTGATCATCTTCTTCTTTCCTGTAGTTTTCAGCAGTCCCTCCAGTGCTGGTGCCGGTCTCTTATCCAGCGCTGACTGCTGAGTTTTCTGTGTCCCACAGAGTCTGTGCGAGTGCACGCTGCTGGGCTGCCTGCATTGACTTGCCTTGTGTCTCTCCTCGTCTCCCGGCTGAAGATCTGTACTGCACATGTGCCCGCCCCATGATCCTTTAGATTTTAGAGCGTGCGGCAGAGACACAGGTAAGTTTAAACCTTTGTGTTAACTTTTTTAAAATTTTTTTGCATATATCTACTGCTTGCTAGCCAGGTGTTTACGCCCCCTTCCTGGCCAGGCCATTTTTTCAGTATTTAGCGCTATGGCACTTTGACTGACATTTATTCTGTCATGCAACGCTGTACTGAAATGAATTTTATACCATTTTATGGGGACGGATAGAGCTTTCTTTTGGTGGTATTTAATCACCACAGGGGTTTTTATTTTCTACTATATTAAGAAAAAATTACTGAAAATTTTGGAAAAAAAGGTTTTTTTAACATTACGTTATGATATATTTATTGTTACCCAATTTTTTGGTAAAATATAAAAGACGGGGTCACGTCGGGTAAATAGACACCAAACATAACAAGCCTTAAAATTGTGCGCACCCGCAAAATCGCAAAAAACTACCATACCCAAAATTGACCATAGGCAACGCTTTAAAAGCTTTTACTGCTCATCAGTTTAGTGTTATCAGTGATTAATGGCCCTAGAATTATTGCTCTCACTGCGTCTGTTTGCGGCGATATGCAACATGTGCGGCGTAATGGGCACAATCATCGTTTTTGCACCCGACGCATGTTTGCACGCGTGTAGGTATGGGTGGCCACTTTAAAAAAAAAATTGTTTTTTATGTGTGACTAATTTTTTTTTGCAACTTTAAGTTTTTTTCCACTTAACTTTATTGTTATCACATAGGGGGCTAAGAACCCCCCCTATATGATAGGGGGCTACGAAACCCCCCTATATGATAGCAAAGAGATGTGACAGGTCCTCTTTATGGAGACATCAGGGGTCTCCAAGACTCCTAATGTCGCCTATGGATCCCCAAAGAAGCTGATGAAGCAGACATCTGCTTCATCAGCTTCTCTCCCGCTTCTGAAGCTGAGTGACACAAGAATGCGGAAGTGATGTAATATACATCACTTCCACATTCTGACACCGGAGAGGGGACCGGACGGATCTATCGCCGGCTGATCGCTTTTATGTAAACAGGCATTGCTGCCTGTTTTTAAATTTTGGTAGTTTCCTGCTCGCGTGCTGTGGCTACCATGCCGTTACATCCCGGAAGCTCCCGGCCGGCCGTTTTCTTACAACGACCGGCCAGGAGGCGGTTAAATACCCTTTAACTTCTCCCAATGCAGTCTTGCAAAAAGTCTGTTTACTTGTCATGTCATTTAAATCAGAAAGATAAAAAGTAGACCAGAAGTGGCATATAATGTACCTTAAACTGTGGGTCATGTTGGAGCACCTATTAGGAATAATAATCCATATACATGCATAGCATTAAGCTTTCATATCCTCAGTCTGCATTCTCTTACCATTAAAACAATGCCTCTCCCCTACAATATTCCAGGCACAGAACAAATTGGAATCCTCAGGCCCTGTTGAGCCCCATGAACTTTACTAATCATGTTAAAAAGTTTATGTACACTACAGACTTTTCTATGATCCGTGAAGAGATCAGTGTCTGTTCTGTAGGGAGAGGTTTTTTTTCGGGTGGAGACTCGACGCACTTTGGGAACACAGCTAGCAGCATTCAGACAGGGGGATTTATCAAAACTAGAGCAGATAAACTCTGGAGCAGTTGTGCATGGCAACCAATCAGCGTCTTTCTTTCATTTTGAAACTAAAGAGAGATGCTGATTGAGTATAATAATATGTGCCTATAATACTGACTTGAAGAGTACATCCAGGTGAAAAGGAAGAAGTTCAGAATTATGAATCATGCCTAGCAATCATCTCTACTTCACAATACAATACTTAATCTGTTTAAAAAAAAAGCTGCAGCATCGCTTTAGAAATGTGCACTGGGCTCCACTGCCCTCGAGAGTTTGAAGAGAATGAAAAAATAATGAAAGGGGAGTTTACAAAAAAAAAGCTGGGATGAGAGTCGGTCATGCAACTTGTAAAAGTCACATGACAGGCACTCCTCCAAGTAGACAGAACTTTGTATGATATTGCAGGCTGCATTCTGCGGCCCACTTTTTCTGAACAGGGGAGCCACAATATGCATTATTACTGCTAAGTATAATAGATCACACAAAGTGATAGTAGCTCTCTATTTTAAATAGGTGTCCCTGTTGAAAGATTTGTTAAAAATGTCACCAGCACACCATATTGAAGTAAAGAACACGTCTGTTTATTGACGTCTCATGTCAAAACAAATTTTGACATGAAGCGTCAATAAACAGACGTGTTCTTCACTTCAATATAGTGTGCTGGTGACATACTTAACAAGTTTCAGTATTGGCAGCGCCATCTGCGGTCACATCTAGAACCCACGCTGACAGGGATACCCGGTAAGGAGTGCAGCAGGATTCTGGAATACCTGTTGAAAGATGTTCCCTTACCTCCTGCTCCAGTGAAAACCGTAAAACTTTGGATTTAACCCTTTCGCTGCCAAGTGCTCTGGGACGCTTTACACCTCACCATTTTTGCAATTTTTGCAATGGTTTGATTTTCAACTGCTGCGTTGCTAGCTACACCCCCAAAACATATAGAAAGACCCTACATATATTTTCTGAAAGCACAGACTCGGTAGAATAAAATAGAGTGCTACTAAATTTGTAGGCCCTGCGATAATTGCGTAAATGTTTATCAAATCAATATTGAACCGTTAAAAATACACAATTCAATTGATAAAGCACACTAAACTCAGTATCAGTGCACAAAAAACAAAAAAATTCCGACTAAATCTAGAAGATAAAACTGTATGGAGTTAAAAAATAACAAATATTTGTACATTTTAAATTGCGCCTTATGACACATTGCCGTGCATGTGGTATGCTGTGTTGCAATTACATGTACGCCTGTATAATTTTGCCACAACACCAGTACAGTGCACAAACGATTTTTAACATAAGTTGCTTATTTACAGTTTTGTGTTCTTAATTTTTTTTTACCATTTCCCAAAAAGGATCAATTAAAAAATTTACAAATATTTGATATTCATTAACTCAATACAGTTTTATCTTTTAGATTTAGTCAGAAAAGTATTTTTTGTGCACTGATACTAAGTTTAGTGTGCTTTATCAATTCAATTGTGTATTTTTATCGGTTTAATATTGATTTGATAAACATTTGCACAATTATCGCAGGGCCTTCAAATTTAGTAGGAACATAGTTTTATTTTACTCGGCCTGTGCTTTCAAAAAATATATCGTTTACAAATGCTAGCAACGCAGCAATAAAGCATCAAAACAATGGGACCAAAATTGCAAAAATGATGTGGCCAGCTGGGGTGTAAAGCATTCTGGTGGGCTTGGCAGCAAAAGGGTTAAACCCAAAATCAGTCATTATTGTGTAGATATCAAAGCAGTTCATAGATTGCTAAAGCTTAATGTTTTGGCTAGAGATGTATGTTTTATACATTAGGACCTATTTTATCACTGCCTCAGATCTTGCTAACCCTACCACTGGCCAGACACATTTATATCCAATTATATATATATCTTTTTCCTTTATATAGGGGAACATAATACATGCAGCCTGTTCATACTGAATATGTAAGTTTTTTTTGTATATCTTCAGGGTTCATATCTTCTTTTCTTTTTCTCTCTATTCCCCTATAATTCACTCACTGTCAAATAAAACCACAGATTAGAATTGTATCCTCAGCCTGTAATGACCAGTTAATATTATAATTGATATACATGTTGTAGGGAACACTGCGAGCACTCTAGGACACATCAGCCATGAAGCAATTGCAAGATATGAGAGATTATGAGCCCAGTTTTGATCAGGTTCCCTTGAGGTCCAGAATGTTATAGTAGCTAATGTGATCCTCTAGGTATGCTGAATCCTGTGGTCTTTTCATCTTTCAACAACTTCAACCATCAAAATGCCTTAAAAAGCTTAAAATATATTTCCACTTTTGCACTCAAAGTCCACTATGTTTGCTATGTGTTCCTATTCACACAGCAGCACACCTAAAAATAATAAAAACATTACCGTATTTGCCGGTGTATAAGACGGCTGGGCGTATAAGACGACCCCCCACTTTTTGTGTAAAAATATAGGTTTTGGGCTATACTCGTCGTATAAGACGAGTATAGCCCAAAACAATGTTTAAATGCACTTACTAACCTCCTTGGCGGTATTCCCGAGTATGGCTCGGGGTTAATTTTCAGTACCATAAGTGTTAACCCTGAGCCACACTTGGGATTACAGTGTCTCTTACCTTGTCCAGGATCCCAGCAGCGTCCTCCATCTTCCGTCCTTCAGCTACTACCGCGCTGAGCCAATCACGGCAGGCTTTCTATTCTTTAATACAAAGCCTGTATTTACTGAATACAAAGCCTGCCGTGATTGGCTCAGCGCGGTATACTGTATGTAGCCGAAGCTACATACAGTATACCGAAGTATACCCGGCGTATAAGACGACCCCCGATTTTCGGGCGATTTTTTCGGGTCTCAAACCCCGTCTTATATGCCGGCAAATACGGTATATATATTTCTTACTTTTCAGACGTTTGGACAGACCACAAACATGTTTCAACAAATTCAAAGTGACATGAAACTCTGGATGTGCCCATAGAAAGACTGGGGATGCAATTAACTTTCTGTCTGTAACATACAATGCTTCTAGATCTTTAACCCTTTGTAAAGGTGCCCATACACTGTACGATTCTCGTACGAGAATCGCGGGAAATCCCGCGACCGTACGAGAATCGTAGTGTATGGAAGGCGTGCGACCGTTCTACTGTACGGTCGCACGTCTTCCATCGAACAAGCGGGCTGGAAAACCCGCCGGGAATCGTACGATTCTCGGCGAGTGAGTGGCCTGCTTGTTCGACAACTGACGAACGGGCCGGTGTGCGCACGCGCACACTGCCGATTTGCCGTGCTTGCAAGCCCGCCCCTCATTGCAGTCATCGCAAGCCCGCCCCTCAAGGGGGCGGGCTTGCGATGATCGCAAGTACGATCTGCCTGTCCAAGATGGGCAGATCGTACGTTTTTTTAAGTACTTTACAACCATCGCAAGACTAAGGTCTTGCGATGGTTGTAAAGTGTATGGCCACCTTTAAGAAAGACAGTGTTCAAATCTAGTTTACACCTGATAATTAACTCTGCCAGCACAGTACAGGCAGGGTTAATTAAACACCTGGGTCCACATGCATTCCAGAGAAAATGAGTCATATGAGAAAACAAGTGATCAGCAATTTTTTTTAGGTTATGCTATGTGAATAAGAACATGTAACAAATATAACATGGGTGTAATCCAAATTTGGCTGCATAAGCGAAAATACACTTTAAGTAGTAGAGTACTGGTACAGATGTAGATAACAGCACTGATTTCCGTTCTTTAGAAAATGGTAAACCAACACTGCCCTTTTAACACCACTTATGAGGAAACCTCATACATTTTTTTTTTAAATTAACTACTGTACATGTAAAAAATATATATGTATATATAATACTGAACAATGAAATAAATAGATAAGTGGAAAGAATTACACAACCATCTCTTTACTTAAATATAGCAATGTTGTCCATCTACTACTACACAAACATGCCCCACACATCTACACTTATTCCTGACTGTACATAATGCATAGTGACCGTGTCTAATGTATCTAACTATAACAACAATCCCCTGCAAAAATTGCTGTTGTTCCCAGGGCTTTATAAGTTATTAAACTCCAATGTATTGTTGGTATAAAACATTTTTATAAAGGGGAAGAGATTGGGGTAATTTTTATTTACTGTATCTATTTCATTCATATGGCTATGGCATGCACATCGGCAGAGGTAGATTTTGTTTACACATCAGAAATAACAAAAAAAGTCTGTAGTTCTGATTTTAGCTCTAAACAGTTATGCAGCATATGCAAAAAAAAAAAATCCGTGCTGTATTTAACAGAGCAAATGAGAGCAAGTAAGTGAAGTTAATGGTTACAGTTTACACACAGTTTAATGTGTTCTGTGGTCTGAGTAAAAATAAGTCTAGATGATAAGCAATAAAAAGGAAGGTCCTCTTCAATCCTATTCACCTGGCTCCATAACTTTCTGAGATGTCCTTTTTCTCTGAAGCACAGGATACACAGACAATACTGTATGCTTCAGTTTGTTCACAGATTGTCGCTTTTGAGTGATAAAACAAAGCAGTGACCTCTCCAATTACAAGAGCAGTATAAACTCACCACAAATCCTTTTAGGTGACCGTTTAATCCATCCTTCTGCACAGGCAACCATGCCACTTTTATAGTACTGTCATTTACAGCTTCTAAACCAACATTTTCAGGGATACTTTGGGGATCTGTACAGGAAAATAGAAAATATGAATATATTAAAGATCATGCCATAAATGTAATAAGGCAAATAGTGAATTGCAGAGTTTGGTGTACCAACTATCTGTCTTTTGGAGGAAAATAGTATTTTATACCATTATTCTCCTTATTAAATTATCTGATGTCTCATGTACAGTTTTATATAAATGCACTACATACAGTTGTTACACAAAGGGGTCTATTTATTATTAATTTAATTGCCGATCTGCCCAGCATTCACCCATTTTTCAGCAGAAAACTTTCACAATAGCACACTCACAATATATCACAATGGTTTTCACCCAGTTTCAAAGGATATTCACTTGAAAACAGAATTAAACAACATTCACCACATCTGTTTTTTTTTACAAAAAAACTAAACAAAAATGTTTTACTGTACTACTCATCCTATTTATCACTCAGTGAATATGAATTCACTCTGAAATTCACCCAATAGTCACCCTTTTTTATAACTAGCACAATATTCAAACTATCCCTTGGTTTGACATGGGTGAATGGGTATTTCAAAGTGCTATGTGCTTTTAGTGCTTGTGCTGTGGATTTTTCTATTCTATGAAGAGTATTGAACCTGTGTTTTTCATACAGGTAATGCACTTCTAAAGATAAATGTTTTTTTTTTCCTGATTATTAGAGGTGCACCGAAATGAAAATGTAAGAACCGAAACCGAAATAAGAAACAAATGTCAGGCCGAAACCGAAAATGTTTTTTATTCTAACTTTTTCAAATTAATTTGTATTCAATCAAATATTTTTTAATTTTTTTTATAAACTTTTTTATTTTTTATTTATATTAAATAGAATAGAATAGAAACACTGACCGCTCACAGCGCTCTCCTCCTGCAGCACTCGGCCTCCTGTGGCAGTTTCTCTCCTCCCCGCTGGGACACAGAGCAGCGCCCAGCTGGGAGGAGAGAAAGCACGGATGCACGGCCAGAAAATGGCACTTTCAAAATTTTGACAAAAGTGCAATTTTCGGCCGATATGTTTTGGCGGCCGATCTATCGGTGCATCCCTATTGATTATTATTACCCCCCATAGCAAGGGAGTACTAAGCATGCAGTCTCCCCTGTGGATAACAGCCCACATGCCCTTCAGCATTGGTGGTATACTTCTAGAGGAGTTCTCAAAAAAAAAAAAAAGAACTCCAGGATGGAATTTGTAATAATAGAAACAGTGATGTCATAGGGAACTCCATTCCAGATTTCTCTAGAATCATAAAACCATGCGCAGTATTGCAGAGTTCTCCGAACCAGTGGTGGGAAGTTCCTTATTGCTTACACAGAGATTGAGGAGTGAGGAAGGTGAAACCTGTGCAGGTCAACCTCTGACCTGCCAATGCTAGATGAATGGCCCGGGACAACTTCTGAAATGAAAATATTATATATTAATTTTTTAATTGTTGTTGTGTGTTTATGTATCTACTTTGCTTACCCTATGCATTGTGAACTGGTTAGGGGCCAAGAAACGCCTAAAACCAGTTCACTTGGGAGAGGGTAACCACCTTCTTTCCTCCAATGGGAGAATAGCTAGATGGTACAAAAGCCCCCTCCTCGCTTGCCGACATCTCCCGGGCACTGGGATTGACAAAGAGCCCAGTGCCTGGTGATTTGGGAGGGGGATTTTCAGTTTTTGTGGAACCCCTTTTCAAAGCAATGCTGAAGGACATGTGCACTGGTATAAGCACAGCAGGGGAGATACGCTTTTGCAGCCCTCATCCTATGGATACCAGCCCACTGAGATGCCAGGCTGGTTAGTTCAGGGGGAAGTAGTGGAGGAGCGTTTTTTGCCATTTTTATAGGGGGAAAAAAAAAATCAACAAAAAAAATATATTCTGCCCAAAATAACTATCCATAGCATGAAAACTGTGTCAGGACTCCCGTTATTTAACATTCGCTCAGAAATTCCCACTGCAATTTAATCAGTAACCATGGGGGACAAACGTAGCCACCCTCCAGAAGAAAGGACAGTGTCAGCTTGAGGATGTACATTTTTGCTAATTGTTAAGGTACTTGAATGCATTTTTAAGATTTGTATTAAGGTCTGTATTTATTTAGTAAATACTTTGATCCATATTTAAATATAAACATTTGCCTTGGACCAATCCATTGTTATTAAGCCAGTCATTAAAAATTCTCAAAAATTTTGAAACAATGGCTTCAAAATCACAGAGCTCAACTCTTTAGGGCCTGTGAGTGTAAGCCAACTGCTCCAGGTGCTTTGTTACTACCAACTCAGGGACATTTTTTTCCTTCAACTGACCACTGACTTTTTTTTCTCTTATTGATGTTGGGGGAATTGTTTTACTCTGGCTGCCCACTAAGGCAGAAACATTTTTGACCCCTACCGATGCAGGAATTTTTATCTATTATTGACCACTGGACCCAGAGGTACTTTTTATTCCCCTTGATCTCTAGGGAGTTTTTGCTCCTACTCAAGTACAAATGTCCAAAGACCTTCAGCACACCTTACTGGACTTCCCATAGGAAAATATGGGTGCTCGCAGTGACTGCGGATGGCGCCACATTAAGCAAAAATTCATTGTGATGAGATGTCACCAGCACACCAACATGACAAAACAAGTCAATATTCAGTGAATCTTCGTTTTTATTTTCAGAAGTCACTCAAAGTAGAGTTAATCGCTTTCGGGGGCCGCGCAGGGTCCCCTTCATCAGGCTTAAAGTGAACATTTCAAAGTACACACTGATCACCACATAGATCCACCCCTTTGACGTCATATTCCCGCCAGAACAGAAGGTTAAACATTGCTGAAAAGTCATGACATGAAAAACCAATAAAATGCAGATTCAAAGTGCAAAATATATTTATATTGGTGTAACGATTTATTCTTTATTAGTGTTGTGCTGCTTTTCGTAAGAATCAGGCCGAGCAACTGACAGCCGGATTGCCATGGGGATGAAGACGCTTTTAGGCGGTGGAGAACCGCCCAGCGTCTCCTATGTGCAGGCCGAAGCTTCTGCGCATGCGTCGCGGGACATATACCATTGGTGTAGTCCCGTTGCTGGTCACGCCCCTTGTCAGCGATCTGTGGAGAGACACAGAGATGCCTATACAGTGCTTGTTTTGGGATCAAGATAAAGGGTTGTTTGAGAGATGCTGTACTTTGTAAAAAAAACATAACTCAGCCGGTATATTCATAAGGAAGTTCATAACGTATCAAGATTAGGGCACCATTTGATCAGAAATCGCTGGTTTAGTAGATATAAAAACTGACAGAAATCACTTGGTTGAGTATAATCATAATATGATGCACATGGTTAGTACTCGGCAACAATTTATGGGCCTGCACATAGGAGACGCTGGGCGATTCTCCACCATCTGAAAGCGTCTTCATACCCATGGCAACCCGGCTGTCAGTATTAGCTTCTACTCTAGCGACAGCAGATCAACAATTCGCTTTAGAACCACAGTACTTATGACAATAAATTGTTGCCGAGTACTAACCATGTGCATACTGTTAGGTTTTGCACTTATGTCATATTATGATTATACTCAACCAAGTGATTTCTGTCAGTTTTTATATCTACTAAACCAGCGATTTCTGATCAAATGGTGCCCTAATCTTGATACGTTATGAACTTCCTTATGAATATACCGGCTGAGTTATGTTTTTTTTACAAAGTACAGCATCTCTCAAACAACCCTTTATCTTGATCCCAAAACAAGCACTGTATAGGCATCTCTGTGTCTCTCCACAGATCGCTGACAAGGGGCGTGACCAGCAACGGGACTACACCAATGGTATATGTCCCGCGACGCATGCGCAGAAGCTTCGGCCTGCACATAGGAGACGCTGGGCGGTTCTCCACCGCCTAAAAGCGTCTTCATCCCCATGGCAATCCGGCTGTCAGTTGCTCGGCCTGATTCTTACGAAAAGCAGCACAACACTAATAAAGAATAAATCGTTACACCAATATAAATATATTTTGCACTTTGAATCTGCATTTTATTGGTTTTTGGCACGATGCTTAGTCATGACTTTTCAGCAATGTTTAACTTTCTGTTCTGGCGAGAATATGACGTCACTATGACGTCAAAGGGGTGGATCTATGTGGTGATCAGTCTATTATGTGTGTGTATATAATGGTGATGGTGTGTACATTGAAATGTTCACTTCAAGCGTGATGAAGGGGACCCTGCGCGGCCCCGAAAGCGCTTGACTCTACTTTGAGTGATTTCTAAAAATAATAAAAAGAAAGATTCACTGAATATTGACTTGTTTTGTCATGTTGGTGTGCTGGTGAGATCTCTTCACAACAAATTTTGCTCCTACTCAGGCCCGGATTCCCCACAAGGCCATGCCTCGGGACGGCAGCGGTGTGGAATCCCCCAACGCCCGGAAAATAAAGTTCCAGGCGCCGGGCGGTAAGTTGCCTTCTACAGTTGGCAAGGCAGGACTGAATGTAGTGTGGGGAAGCCGTTTGTTCGTTTACAAGTGATCGCGGCGATGTCGCCGCAATCACGTGTAAAATGTGTGCAGCCTGTCCGTCGTCCCCTCCTCCCCCCACACCTACCTCTCTCCTCTGGTTCCATCCTCCCACCGGCCTAGGGTTGCCACCCGTACGGGAATGACCCGGACAGTCCGGGTTTGTAATCCTGTGCCCGGGTACAGCCCTTTCGCAGACCCGGGCACGGGATTCAAACTGCAGGCTTGCTCACAGCTGGCCGATACAGAGTATTTGGGCGAGTACTTGTACTCGTCCAAATGCTCCAATACCTTCCCCGATATTGGAACTTCCGGTCGGAGGGAGATGTCCCTCTGACCAGCAGCGCTAAGAGAGCATACAGCCATCTTCCTTTCCAATCAGGAAGCCGGGAGGTGGGTTATCATCCACCTCCTGGCTTCCTGATTTGCTAGGAAGCCTGCTTCACTTGTTGCCACTGGGCCTGCTCTGTGTAGTTTTAAAAAAAAATTGTTTTTTTTCCTCACGATCCCGACACGCGCGGCACCTCAGGCAGTCGCCGGCCAGCTAAATTAGGACCCCATCTGGAGCTCCTTCCACCGGACCAGCGCTGACTCGTCACTGCTCTCCCGCACCGAAGGTAAGTGAAAAAAAAAACATAGCGCAAGCATCGGGGCATTTTGACAAGTACAAGTACTTGTCAAAATGCCCTGTTTTTTCCGCCCTCAGGCGGCCGCTTGCCTTGCCTTGCGGTAGCGCCGGGCCTGCATACAGCCGACTTCCTTTCCAATCAGGAAGCCGGGAGGTGGGTTATCATCCGCTTCTGTATTGGAGTTCTGTTGTGAGCGGTGCCATCCACAGTCATTACGAGCACCCGTTACTTTTGGGATATCGGGTAATGAGTGCGGCAAGGAATATGGATACTGCTTTTATATAGTATATATCTGGGGACCTGTGGCACGCTCGCATCTTATGGGGGCATTATTTATATACATAATGTATATCTGGGGACCTGTAGCTCGCTGGCATCTTATGGGGGCATTATTTATGTACATAATGTATATCTGCGGACCTGTGCACACGCGTTCTATGGGGGCATTGTTTATGTACATAATGTATATCTGGGGACCTGTGGCACACTGGCATCTTATTCCTATATAAAGAGTCCATACAGTGAGAGGCTGTGCTCTTCCTCTCTCAGCTGTCACAAGAGTTCCAGCACAGTACTGTGTTAGAACTCCTGTATTGGAGGTGACAGGTTCAATAAAGAGAACCTGTCACCTCCAAAGGCTATCACACAGGCGCTTGTTAGCTAGCTCCTGTGCGATACCAATAAAGTTAAGTGAAATTTGTTTTATAAAAATTAAAAAAATAATAAGAAATAATAATTAAATAAAAAGGTGATTAAAAAGTAAAAAATAATAGGAAATCGAGAGCCTTCTGTTGTTCCAGGATTATTTAAAATTTTGAGTGCAGATGCAAAATAGGTTTTGATGTCTGGCATCAGAGTTGCTTAACCCCTTCCCACGACCATCTGTATATAAATATCCAGTATGGGGCCCTGTGCTGTGGATACGTTTATAATTATCTCCCCTTTGAGAACTACCAGTTGACACATGGTGCAGCTGGTGGCTCTCAATCCAAGCTATCATAGACCGCCCGGGACCCCACTGACAATCAAGAACCAACTCAGCATGATTCCCAATTGTGTGACCACTATGTCAGCTATGATCACATGCAGACTGGAGGCTTCACTGAAAAATTGAAAGCCTTTAACCTGCAGATGAACAATGCTGCCTTTAAGTTGAATTGTTCATCTGTAGTGCCATATATGTTTAAAGCTGTAGTTACATTACAGTATTTTAAAAAGATAACCAAAATAAATAAACAATTTTTTTATGCATTTATCAGCCTATAACAAAAAAACAAAGCAGGGTTTTTATTAAAACATGTACCAAGTAAAAGCTTTATATGTCCCTCAATATAACAAAAAAACAAAGCAGGGTTTTTATTAAAACATGTACCAAGTAAAAGCTTTATATGTCCCTCAACATGTAAACCAACTCATGCTGACACCACTAATTCTGACACGGGCAAGAGAGGGTTAGGCAGAGATACTCACAGTCTTCTCCAGAGTAGCCAGTGACAACTTTAGGCTCAGGACCTTTCCCAAGATCATTGACAGCCTGAACTTTAATATCATAAGGCACAAATGTATTGGTATCTTCTACAAAGACATAAGGCTCTGTGACCCTCTTCTCCCTCCATTCCTCATTCTGATTTTCTCTTCTCCACTTCACAATGTAAGCAAAACCAGGTCCATTCCACTCAATTCCTCTCACAGGCTGTCAATAACAAAAGACGTATCAACACATTGCATTTTTGTATTCTTTTTTATATATTTACATTTTTAGTGTACTTGGCAAAAACAATCATGGTAACAAATATTTAATTAAAAAATACATTACATAATGTAGGTTTGCAATTATATGCTTTTTCATGCTCACTGTAAAATGCTCAAAAGTAGCACAGTAGTGAATAACAGAAGGATACCTTCCTTAACACATTTTGAACTGTGGCAACAACCAAATAATAAAGTGAATGAAAGACCCATCAGAGAGGAGGCAAGGGCACCAAACATAAAAAATGGGAATGAAAAAGGCCCCCAACAATCCGCTTGCAAGACCTCAACTCCAAGGTGTAGCATCCACTGATGCAGTGATGCCAACCCTGTAAAATGTAGTACAGGTGTGGACTGAAGATCAGGTAGCAGCCTTACAAACCTGGGAAACAGAACACTGTTGCTGGAAGGCCTAGAAAGGGCCTAGGTTGAGATGCCACAAAGCAAAAGGGTACCTAACAGCCCCCCTGTTAGGTACCCTTTTGCTTTGTGGGATCTCAATCTCTGAACAGAAACAAGCAAGACAGACAGAAGTGAAATCTCAAATTTGCCATTGGTTCTCAGTAGGCCAAGAGTAGGACATTGGTGAAAACTCTGAACAGTGGCCAATCCAAGGTGAAGAACCATGAATTGGAAGGGAAATTCCCTCACTGCAAAGCTTAGGACGTGTTGGTGGCTAGTAAAGATCGGAATCTCCAATATCTACCAAGGTCAGAAAATATTCTAGGTGAAGGAAGGCCTCCTAGTGTGGAGGAAGGTTTTTTTAAAGTTTGAGGTCCAGAATAGGTCAGAAACCTGGCATGTTGAGTGTAAAAAGGGGAATGGGAACAATTACTCCCTGTAATACAAACCCCCTATGTGGCTTAGCACAAGGCTTTAGCATACTGTGGTGAAAGATGGTATGAAGCAAAAAATCTGTTTGGGGAAGACAACTTTTTGTAACCACCAGATACCACCTTTTGCAAACATGTCAGAAATATTCTGCAATTAAAATCTGGTGAAAATCAGTAGATCTTCCTTCCTTCCTGTCCTCACTGGTGGAGGCAGACCTTCATACCATGGAAGGCTTGTAGGAGGATTTGGAGAGCCTCTGATTAGGGTCTTATACACATGAAAGACCCTAAAGCTTTCTGGGTATGAAAGGAAAGTCTGCGTCCAAATCTGCTGACCAGCCTTCAAGCCAGATAATTCTGCAACAAATCACCACATCTGAGAATGCTGGCTGTCAATTTGTGGCAAGTTGCTTTTAGCGATCAACAGAATGCGAAGAGGAGGGGGGTGTCCCTTTAAGGGTGACACTGCCGCTAGAGCACATTTACTGGTTAAGCACCTGCGGTCAAGCAAGAGAAGGGGTTTTAACCAGGTGTAAAAGGCAGACCTTGACCTATTGTGGAGGCACTAGGTTCCTGGTTTGTTAGTAGTTACTGAGGCTGGGCTGAGGCAAAAACTAAGTCTGGATCAAAAAGAGCGGGAGAGAAGTGTCCTACCTCCTCAGATCACTGAGCTAAACTGAACTTTAATGCAGGTGCTTGAGTATAGCCCGTAGGTGGGGATGTGTCTATTTAGATTTGCATAATTTCCAAACATCCTAGAGGCTAGAAATGCCTTGTACAAACCACCATGTAGCTTGGTGATTCATTAAAAAAATGTTAATACTTAGAAACATTATATATAGTGTGACATTGGGGAGCCCACAGAGCACTTGCACAGAGGGTGTTTGAATAAAACAAAAGCTTTTTATAGTCCTCTTCAGGGCAGTCAAAATGGTAAACACAAATGTAAGCTCATCTTCAGCATGACTCAAGGCAAAAGTCCGTATCTTCGGCACAAATAAGGTGACATAAAAATGTGTCTCACCAGTTTGTCATACATCAGCCACAGCTGGTCCCTCTCTCCGCACAACTCCCACCTCAGGGTTAGAGCCTCAGCCTGCTCATGGCCAGACACCCAGCAGCTTCACCTCCCTGTGTGACGATGGTCCTCCCGACCTTTCCAAACACTCCACGTGTGCCACAGACCATCCTGGCCTCGCCGAGACACTGTGTGTGCCACAGGCCCTCTCGGCCTCTCCAGTCAGACTCCAGCTCAGATTCTCGTGCGTCACATACACAGTCTCCCACGCTTTGTATGTACTCCTCCACCACTGACTGCCTCTTCCTATCTGTTTAGTCTCTTAATAGGGCTGTTATCAGCCACCTGGACAGTCTGGCCTGGCAATTGGGTGCACCTGGCCCCAGGACTGTAGATTTCATCCCACCAAAGACTCTTAGAAATCTCCAGAGACCCAGATCCCAGTTATACTCCAGAAAATCCGGAAATAACTGGAAACCCAGCTCCCTCCCTGTAACACTATATGTTTTCTGGATCCTCTCAGCCCCTCTCGCCGAGAGTCCTGGGCACCAAATACAGCAATCACCATAGTGACACGGCACTGTCCTGTTACAATAGCCAACGTGTTTTGGGGGAAGGACCTCCCTCTTCCTAATGCGATAAGGGTGGCCAGTAAGTCACCCTTATCGCCTTAAGGACACGGATTTCTAGTCAATCCAATCTGGATTTATTCATACGCTTAAGCCATAAAGAAGGCAGAGGCCTTTCCTCTAAAATGCATTGGCTGTATATGACATTCCTAAGCAAAAAACATTTTTTACTAGACAGTCCCCACCTCACACGTACAAGAATAGATGAACAATTCATCCCCGATCAGATCAGAGACGCAGCAGCCTAGGACCATAATCACATCCCCATACAGCGTGATTTTAATACATGCCAACCTCCACCTCCTCCTTGTAAAAAAACGGACGGACGGCACTGCAGCATTGGTGGGAGAATGGGGTTTAACACCGCGGATGTCAACTGGTTAAAGTATTACCTATATATGTAATTTTAGACTCTCATCAGTCCAGTGCTACTACACACCTACCAAACATCCTAGAAGCAGGAGCCTAGTTTAGTATGCTCCAATGAACGCTGACAAATTTTTTTTTTTTCAAGAGAAGATGAAAGTTTAAGACATTAAAACAAAAAGAAAATGAAAAAGGGGATTACAAAAAATTAGAGGCTGACATGACTGGAATTTGTTTTAAAATTAACTAGAAACAATTAATTTTTCTTTGCTTGTTTAAAAAAAAACCTTGACATTAGAGAAATACACAATTGCCATCGCTGACATCCCTCTCAGATGGCTAGGTACCAAGATTTTATGCAGATTCTATGGCTTAAATACTACCTTGACCTTGATGGACCTTGATTTGTGCACTGGTGCGCAGTCATGTTGGAACAGGAAGGGACCATCCCCAAACTGTTCCCACAAAGTTGGGAGCATGAAATTGTCCAAATGCCCAACCCCTGAAAAACAACACCACACCATAATCGCCGCTCCACCAAATTTTACACTTGGCACAATGCAGTCAGGCAAGTACCGTTCTCCTGGCAACCACCAAACCCAGACACATCCATTGGATTTCCAGAAAGAGAAGCGTGATTTGTCACTCCAGAGAACACGTCTCCTATTCTCTAGAGTCCAGTGGCGGCGTGCTTTACACCACTACAATCAACTCTTTGCATTGCACTTGGTGATGTAAGGCTTGGATGCAGCTGCTCGGCCATGGAAACCCATTCCATGAAGCTCTCTACACACTGTTGTTGTGCTAATCTGAAGGCCACACGAAGTTTGGAGGTCAGTAGCTATTTACTCTGCAGACAGTTGGTGACTTCTGCGCACTGTGTGCTTCAGCATGCGCTGACCACCGCTCTGCCATTTTACGTGGCCTACCACTTCGTGGCTGAGTTGCTGTTGTTCCCAGTTGCTTCCACTTTGTTATAATACCACTAACCGTTGACCGTGGAATATTTAGTAGCAGGGAAATTTAACGGAACACCTGAATCCAATGATTTGGAGGGGTGTCCCAATACTTTTGGTAATATATTGTATATTGAAATGGCCCCCCCGACGGTCCCCTTTAAAATAATAGCTGTCATCAGCGGCTAAAAAGCCACTGATCAAACACTGGAGTGATCAGCTGATCACTCCAATGTTTGTAAACAACTAGGAACATGTAGTACTGTGTCCCCAGTTATGAATAAACAGGAAGCGCTTCACATCACTTCCTGTTCATTCATGAGTTTCTGAATGGGTATAGCACTCACTATAGAGGCTTCTACCCATTCATAACTAGATGATAGTAAATATTTTACTATTACCATTTCTGAATGAAGGGGAAGCCTCTTTCCATTCATACAGTGCTGAGACTGTAGAAAAAGAGATTGAGGACTCTGTGTCCTCAATTCCTTTTCCTATTTTAAAAGGCAAATGTCAGGGGTCTATTTAGACCCCTGACATTTCCCCGAAGCCCCCCAACAGTAAGAAAATTAAAAAAATAAAATAAAACACAACCCCCCGCCCCACAAACATACACATATTATACATGTGCAACAATGTGCAACATATTGTGGTGTATGCCATGCACATGCGCTTTGTTATTAGAACACATTACAGTGCTTGATTTTTTCTTTTCTAAATCACATTAATTTAACTGTAGCAGGGCGTGGCAAAGTGCTATGACGCATTGCCGTGCGTTGTGATACTTTGTGTTGCGATTAAATGTACGCTTGTATCATTTTATCACAACACACACACCAACACAGTGCACAAACAATTTCTAACTTAAGTTGCTTATTTACAGTTTTGCATTACTTCATTTTTTATCGTTTCGCAAAAAGGCGCAATTTAAAATTTACAAATGAGGACTTCCGGTTCCGGCGCCTATGTGATAGCCAGCAGGGAGACGGTGCTCCCACGGTAACGTCCACTATCTATTATAAAAATGGCCAGGCTTGCACCCGCTGCTGGTACCTGACACGCCACTCTCCCTGAGCTCCTGATGGATCGCTTTCTTGCGGGAACGAAGCAGTGATCACAGTCCCTGACACGATCCGGTGAGG